TTTTTTTTTTTATTTTATTTTATTTTTTTTTTAGTGAGTTTGAGGTCAGTCTAAAACGACAGGGAGACCATCTCTCAAAAACCAAAAAAAAAAAAAAAAAAATAGAATTTTTAAATGGAATCAAGTGTTAGAAAGAGCAGGCAGGCATGGGAGGAGAAGACAAAAATGATGTGCTATGTACATGTACCAACTCCCTATGATAAATGTAATCATGTATTGCAAATATACTAATAAAAAATACAGCTAAGTTTGGTGGTGCATGCCTGTAATCCCAGTACTTGGGAGGCTGAGGCAGGAGGATCACTGCAAGTTTGAGGCCAGCCTGGGCTACAAAGGGAGCTCAAGGCCAGCCTGAACTGCATAGGCAAACCCTGTCTGAAAAAGTCCAGAAAAACAAACAACCCCCCTGCCAAAAAAACCCCAGAAAACATAATCAGCCAGGTATGTGGTTTAGGCTTGTAATCCCAGGACCCAGGAGACTGAGGGGAACTGCTGCTAGTTCAAAGTCAGCCTGAACTACAGAGCGAGACCCTGTCTCAACAATAAAAAAAAAAAAGGGCTTCAGAAAAATTCTAAAGTTTCTTTTAAAGAGATTGAGAGACTCATGACCTAGATTTTTAATTCTGCCTGGACTGTGAAGGGGACACGTTTTTATCATTTAACAATTTCCTATACTGATATTTATCAGGTCACACAGTAAATTCCTTTACCTTAAGAATGAGAATGAAAAATCTTTTTCTAATCTCTAGTCTCCTTTACTTTTGTGGTTCCGACATTACATACCTCTAGGTTCTCAAGAACTCTGTCCACTCCGTGTACTCTTATCACGCCAGGGTCTAGCTGGTGGCCGAGGAACAGTTCTGACTGTTTGACGTAGAAGGCGGGGGTGAAAGGAAGGAGGATTCTCTGCAACCCATACTTGGTGCTGTTGCTGATCAGCGTGGCCCAGCTGTACACCGAGGTGTCGGCCATGCTGAGGGCTTGGAGCAACGCCTTTGACTGCGGTCTCACCTTGATCAGGCAGACATAAGCCCCTGAAAAGGAGAAGAAGCAGCGGGCAGGTCCAGAGGCTCTAAGGAGTGAACTGAATTAGGACAGGAAGGAAAAATGGTGATGTGTGAACCCAGCTTTGAGTACCAAGTGTCAGCACGCTACTGGCCACTATGGGGTGGGCACCTCAGGAAGAGAAAAGCGTCCCTGGGAACCCAGTGTGGAACTTGTCTAGAATGTCATTATTGCTACATCAACATGTCAGGGAGGGTTAAATAATATGGTACAGGCTGGTGATGAAGGACTGAGGGTACAAAGTGAAGACATGTTGAGCAAGATTTAATCCTTTTTTTTTGTCTTTGAGACAGGGTCTTTCTATGCAGTTCAGGCTGGCCTTGAGCTCACTTTGTAGGCCAGGCTTGTCTTGAACTCTCAATGATCCTCCTGCCTCAGCCTCCTGAGTGCTGGGATTACAGGTGTGCACCACTGTGTAATCATTTATCATTTCTTTTTTTTTAGGTTTTTAGGTTTTTTTCCCAGTACCCAGAATCAAACTCATGACCTTGCGCTTGCCAGGCAGGCGCTGTGCTGCTGAGCTAAATCCCCAGCCCCCTAATCATTTCTTTATCAAGCTACTTTTTTTCTTTTTTTTTTTTTTTGTAGGGCTAAGGATTAAACCCAGAGCTTCACACATGTTGGATAAGTGTCCTACCACTAAGCTACCTCCTCAGCCCTTAAACTACTTCATTTCTTTTCTTTGTGTTAACTGGGGATGGAACGCAGGGGCCCTCTGCCACTGAACTATATCCCCAGTGCTGTTAATTTTTATTTTCATTTTTTTGAGACAAGGACTCACCACAGGCTGGCCTGTCTCAAAAAGACAAAAAACAAAACAAAACAAAACCCAAACATTCAGGCAGGGTGGTGGTGTATGCCTGTCATTCCAGCATTTGGGAGGCTGAGGCAGGAAGATCACTGTGAATTCGAGGCCAGCCTGGGCTACATAATAAATTCAAGACCAGCCTGAACTACACAGCAAGACCTTGTCTAAAAAGAAAAAAAGGGAGGGCTGGGGCTCCATGGCGGAGTGTTTGCCTAACATTCCTGAGGCCCATGGTTTAATTCCCAGAACCACAAAAACAAATGAACAAAAGCTGAACACACGGCCCAGGCCTACACTGAGCAAATGGGGAATAACAGAAAATAGAAAAGTGAGTTATAATAGAAAACCACAGGTTTGCATGAGGCATGTACTGAATGGCTTGAACCAAGATGTAGATTGAGGAAACTGGTTATTTATTAGACAAAACTGGAAGCGTAAATACAATCCAACAGGAAAGTGACAATTGTACAAATGGGAAGATGGAAGGGGAAACTATTCAGCTAGTGGGCCTACCTTTGTTCACGCTGAAATCTGAGCGGACATGGAAGACTTTACTTGCTGGAATGTTTAGCATAGTATTACTGAACTGTACATGACACAGCACCAGGGTCTCTGGAGAAAGGACGTCCATAATGGCTAAGGCCTGATTTGGGGTGCAAGAGCCTAAGAAACAGAAAAGAGGTAAATGACCGTTACTAGGAATTTATAAAAGGGAAGACTATTGTGGGGGTCATTTTGGTATGGAAAAACATGCAAGCTGAGCGATGCACACCTGTAATCTCAGCACTCTGGGAAGCTGAGGCAGGAGGATTACAAATCTTAGCGCAGCTTGGGCAACTCAGCAGTTTACTGAGATCCTATCTCAAAGTAGAAAAATAAAGAGGGTTGAGGCTCTAACTCAGTATGAAGGGTCTGGGTTCATTCCTAGGACTACCAAAAAGCCAAAAGCAGGGCCGGTAATATAGCTCAGCAGCACAGCGCCTGCCCAGCAAGTGCAAGGTCTTGAGTTCAATTCCTGGTACCAGAAAACCCCCAAACTGCCAAAGCAACAAAAATACTTAATCCGGGCTGGAAGTGTAGCTCAGGGGTAGAGTGTTTGTTTGCCTTGCATGTGCAAAGCCCTGTGTTCCATCCCCAGTACCCCCCCAACACACACACACGCACGCACACACACACGCACACACATGCATACATGAAGCCTCACATCTCCATGACTTATTTGTCATGATGGAGTCAGTTGGGAAATAAAAGAAGCCATACGTGGTGGTGTACACCTGCAATTCCAGGTACTCAGAGGCTGAGGGAGGAAGATCACAGGTTCAAGGCCAGCCTGGGGAACAGAGCAAGATTCTGTCCCGAGAAAGAGCAAAGGGAGCCTGTATTACTAACCTAACATGAAAGTGAATTCAGGGAAGATGGGAAAGGGGAACAATCACCCAGACCTAGCGCGGTTCTTGCCTTTCATATTGACATCATTTCTGCCAGTAGTGATGAAGAGTTTGAATACAGCTGAATTGGGGCTATTGGTGAGAGAAGTCTTGAGGTCATATGTGAACGTTAATCTCGAGGATGCCTTGACTGTCACCTGTCAGCAAACCAAAGGGAAACTGTCTGTGCTCTGTAGAGAACCTGGTTCCCTCTGTTCCCACCCTTCAAATTTTATTTAACCAAAAGCAATCTTTCACACAAATACAACCAGACTTTGTAGTAATTACATCTCTGAGAACCACAAAACCTGTTTACGTTTAAGAAGAAATTCTTTTTTTTTTTTTTTTTGAGATAGGGTTTCCCTTTGGGGTGGTGGTGCATGCCTGTAATCCCAGCACTCAGGAGGCTGAGGCAGGAGGATCATTGCAAACTTGAGACCAGCCTGGGCTACAAAGTGAGCTCAAGGCCAGCTTGAACTGCATAGCGAGACTGTCTCAAAAAGACACACACACACACAAAAAAAGAGAGAGAGATAGGGTTTCCCTATGTAGTACACAGGCTGGTCTTGAACTCACTATGTGGCTGAGGCTGGCCTTGAACTTGCAGTGATCCTCCTGCCTCAGCCTGAAAAGAAAATGTTTCATCTAGAAAGAAAGTTTTGTCCAGCCACACCTTCCTACTGAGATAGGAGATCAGGGCGTAGCAAAAACTGGCTGGGGAAGTCAGTGTGGCCTGTTAACAACAAGATCCTGGACACATGCGCAGAACAGTCCCCAAAGCCCTGACCATGGACTTCTCCCGAGAACTGGAGCAGATTTTCTTTTTCTTTTTTAAAAGTTTTTATGGTACTAGGGATTGAACTCATGGACTCGTGCATGCTAGGCCAGAGCAGGTTTTCTACAGGATAAGGGACCTCGGCCTGAGGCTGGGATCCCAGCACCGCCTGTCAAGACCCCTCAGTAGAAGTTCTCTCGGTTTCCTTGAGGCTTCGTAGGCATGAAAGGACACATCCAAGCCATGAAAGCCTTGCTATCGTAGCTTTCTATGACAGCCCACGCTGTTTCCCAGACGCAGCGCATGCTTTTATCCTTGCTCTGTCCTTTTTCTGTTTACTTGGTTCAAGCTCGCTCTGCAGAGCCAGTTTCTCTCCCACTCTTCATTTTTGCTTTCTTGAGTAAACTCTGCCACTAGTTTTTGCTCTTTTTGTTCAATTCTTTATTTGAGGCAAGAAGAACCTGGAATCCAACTCCAGGAGAGGCAAGCTATCCAAAACCGGGTAACATTAAGTTAGTGAGCCGCTTTTTAGGAACAAGCTACCCAATAACACTGCGACTCCCTATTTTAAATTTCCTTTGAAGCCCGCACAGGGTATACACCGGCAGGGCAACCCCGTGAGGCCCTGTCTCCAAAAAGAAAAAAAAAAAGGCTGGGGATGTGGGTGTGGTAGAAAACCCATGAGTTCCGCTCCCAGTACCAGAAGGGGGAAAAAAAGACACTGAAAATAATCTTAACTTTGTGTTTTTCATTTTTTTTTGCTTTTTGAGACAGGATCTCACTATGTAGTAGGGGCTGGCCTGGAACTCACTATGTAACCCAGGCTGGCCTTCTTGCGGTGATCCTTCTGCCTCGGTCTCTCAAGTGGACACCATGCTTGGCCACAGTGGTTTTTTAATTTTCAAGAACGGTGTGATACACATCTGTCATCTCAGCACTTGGCATGCTGAGGCAGAAGGATCGCTGTGAGTTTGAGACCAGCCAGAACTACATAGTGAGACTTGTCTCAAAAAGAAAACAAAACTTTAAAATCCAATTTATTCGTAGCACACACCTGTAATTCCAACATTTGGGAGGCTGAGGCAGGAGGATTGCCTTGAGCTCAAGGCAAGCCTGGACTACATAGCAGGACCTCGTTTTTTTTTTAAAAAGGTGAAGAAAGGAAGACAGTATTTCCTAATTTGCACTCACTAGAGTCTGTTATGTGCCACATTGTGCTGGCCTCTGGAAATACAGAGGTGAAAAAGGTAAAACCCTTTCCATGAGCTTGTGAAGATTAAAAATGATAGATGTACTGAGATAGAAAACTAAAAAAAAAAAAGCCAAGTATGGTGGTACACAGCTGTGATACCTGCACTTGGGAGGCTGAGGTAGGAGGATTGCTAAGAGTTTAAAGCCAGCTGGCTATGTAGTGCACACCTGTAATCTCAGCATGGGGAGGCTGAGGCAGGTGGATTGCTACAAGTTTGAGGCCAGCCTGGGCTACATAGTAAGTTCAGGGGTAGCCTGAACTATACAGTGAGACCTTGTCTCAAAAACCCAAAAACCTTAAAAAAAAAAAAAAAAAAAAAAAAAAAGAGTTCAAGGCCCTCTTGTACTACATAGTGAGTTCAATTGCATCTGAACTGCATCTGAACTGCATAGTGAGACCTTCTCTCAAATGCAAAAATAAGCTGGGTGTCGTGGCACATGTCTATAATCCCAGCACTGGGGAGGCTGAGGCAGGAGGATTGCCTTGAATTCAAAGCCAGCATGGGCTACATAGGGAGATCAAAGCCAGCCTGAACCACCCAGTGAGACCCTGTCTCAAAATAAAACAAACCAGCTGGGCATAGTGGCACGCACCTGTAATTCCAGCAGTTAGGAGGCTGCAGCAGGAGGATCATTGTGAGTTCAAGACCAGCCTGGGCTACAAAATGAGCTCAAGGGCAGCCTGAACTGCATAGCAAGACCCTGTTTCAAAAAGACAAACAAAACAAAACAAAATAAAACAAAACCAAGAAAAACAAAACAGGGGCTGGGGATATAGCTCAGTGGCACAAGTGCCTGCCTGGCAAGTACAAGGTCTTGAGTTTCATTCCCGGTACCAAAACACACAAAAAAAACAAAAAACAAAAGCCAACCCCTTCAGTTGTTCGGCCATCTCACCTAATCGAGGGTGTCACTGCAGCAGTTCTCCCTACTCCTAGACAGAATTTTCCTCCTCTGTTGAATCATTCCCAGTGTAGTATTCCTACCATCTTTATAAAACAAATCCATAAAAATTATTTTCTTATGATGGTACTGGAGATTGAGCACAGCACTTCACTTATACATACTAGGCAAGAACTGCACCATTGAGCTACACCCCTGCTAGCTGACAAATACTCTTTTTCTCTTTATTAGTACATGTTTGCAGTATGTAATGTTTATACTCACTGTAGGGCAAAAATTCTTAATCCTACCTCGCGGAAGAGCTAGCTATTCATTTTCTCCAAGTCTTTTTCTCTAACTCCTTCACTCCACCAAAGCTGCTCAAAGTCACCAGTCTCCATGCTGCAAAGCCACTGTCGTAGCTCAGAGTTCAGGTCAACCTTCCACATGGTTAATAACTCCTGCCTTCCTCCCAATACTGTCTTCATTTGGCTTCTAGGATACCAATATCTCTTTTAAGTTTGGCCTCTGCTCACTGGTTCTTTCTTTTCTTTCTTTTTGGCTTTTTGAAACAGGGTCTCACTACATATTCCCGGCTGGTCTTGAACTCACTTTGTAGTGTAGACTGGCCTCCAACTCATGGTGATCCTCCTGCTTCAGCCTCCTGAGTGCTGGGATTACAGATGTGCGCCACCACACCCAGCTCTCCTTTTAAACTCATTAGTACTTTTTTTTTTGTTTTTTTTTTGAGACAAGGTCTCACTTTGTAGCCCAGGCTGGCCTTGAACTCACGGCGATCCTCCTGCCTCAGCCTCCTCAGTGCTGGGATTACAGGCATACGCCATCATGCCCGGCTCATTAGTATATGTTCGTGGTACATAATGACTACTTTCACTGTGAGTATCTGGCACATGTACGTGACACATCTCAATTCTTCTCTGTGTTCCCTTCCCTTCCCCCTTTCTTCATCTCTTGTTCCCCTTCCCATTTTTAGAAGATCTATCTCCCTGTGTCCTCTTATCTTTTATTTCATTCTTTATTTATACTATGGATTTCTCATATAGAGAAGCCATATGGTATTTACGCTTGTATATTTGATGTATTTCACTTAATAGTATGGTTTCAAAGTGTATCCTTTTTTAAAAAAATGACCCAAATTTACCCTCCAGGGCAGAGTAGCACTCTGTCGTGTGTAAACGCCACATTTTCCTATCCACTCATCTGTCGATGCACATATGGGCCACTTCCAAGATCTAGCTATTGTGAGTTGTGCTGCTGCGTAGACATGGGTGTGCATGTATCACTGTAATATGATGCCTTTCTTGGAAATTTTTGTGTGTGCCAGGGTCTTGCTATGTTGTTCAGGCTGGCCTTGAACTCTTGGTGATCCTCCTGCCTCAGCCTCCCCAGTGCTGGGATTACAGGTGTGCACCACCACACCTGGCATATTTTTAGTTTTTTGAGGAATCTCCACACCGATTTCCATAGTGGTTGCACTAGTTTACACTTTCACCAACAATGTAGGAATGCTCCTTTTCACCACAGCCTCACCACGATTTGTTACTATTTGACTTCTTGATGATGGCCATTCTTTCTGGAGTAAGATGAACTCTCACTGTGTTAATTTATTCTTGCCTCACCCGCCCAAGGGCCACACACCATGGTGCCCAGTGACCGAGCCCTCATCCTCTTGCCCCTTCCCCTCTTCCTCCCTTTTTTCTGAGACAGAGTCTCGTTATGTAGTTCAGGTTGGCCTGGAACTTGCTGTGTAGCCCAAGCTGCCCCAAACTTGTGATCCTCCTGCCTCAGCCCCGTGTGCTGGGATTACAGACATGTGCCATCATACCTGGCTTTGAATCACTTTTGATTCTCACTATATATATATATATATACTCTTCCAGAAAACTCTATCGACTCTACCATAAAATATACCTAGAATTTGTTCTGGTTCTCACTACCTCCTCTGCTCCGCTCCTGGGCCATCATATTTCAACGAGATTTCTGCAGTAGATCCCCAAATGTTCTTTCTCTTTCACCTTCTACCTCTGCCTCTACTATCTGGTATCAACTAGTGATCACCATGATCTGGCTTTATTTTTTTTATTTTTAATTTTTTTTGTCTTTTTGAGACAGGGTCTCGTTATGCAGTTCAGGCTGGCCTTGAACTCACTTTGTAGCCCAGGCTGGTCTCGAACTCACAGTGATCCTCCTGCCCCAGCCTCCCGAGTGCTGGGATTACAGGCGTGTGCCACCACGCCCGGCCATGACCTGGCTTTAAAAAAATTGTTTTTGAGACAGGGCCTCACCATGTAACCCTAGTCCTTAGCTGGTCTTGAACTCACTATGTAGCCCAGGCTGGCCTTGAACATTATCCTCCTGCCTCAGGCTCCTGAGTGCTGGGACTATACACATGTGGCCCCATGCCTGATTTAGTAACCACAATGACCTCTTAAAACAGAAATCAGAGTAGTCCTTCTTCGCTGAAGCGGCATGAGCACTGTTTGTGTTCTAGCAAAGTTCCCGTCTGGCTGGTTCTCATGAGGTGCATCTCTCTGTAGGACGTTTTCTGTATGGAATCAGCCGCTCCAGGTTCTCAGCCCCAGTAGCATCAGGGTTACCTCTCGATATGTTCTCACTACTCCGGGGATGTCATGAAAAATCACTGTGGTTCCGGGACTCCTGGCCACTCCAACTCCCGTGACAGTATCCGTCTGTAGAATGCTGTCATCAGAAACCACCCATATCCCAGGTTCACCTGGAAAAATTCAGAAGAAAGCACCTGGCTGCAACCTTCATATCACATACTCCACCTTTTTAATTTAATTAATTACTTAATTAACTAACTTATTTTTTTGAGATAGTATTTCACTATGTAGTTCAACTGACCTTGAATTCACTGTGTAGCCCAGCCTGGCCTCAAACTCACAGTGATCCTCCTGCCTCAGCCTCCCAAGTGCGGAGCTTACAGGCGTGCGCCACCACGCCTGGCTCACTGTACCCTATTTCAACTCAGATAAGCAGAGCTCACCATTCTGTCCTCATGAAGGCAAATACTTCTTTCTAAGAAAAGTACATGACTTTGAGGATAAATGGTTTCTGAATGGTAGTTTCCCTTTCACACACCATAACAGCAAAAGAAAGACCTACCTGTAGACTTCCAGAATGACAGGAAGAGCTACTCAGAGAATGTAACCGTTCTCCTTAGGAAAAAGAAAAACTCTTTTTACGTGGGAAGACACCTTTCTGATTAAACTTTTAGATTTACTATAAGAATGAATATGCTTTGAGCTACAGGTTGTTGCCAGCAGGAAAGTGATAACTGGCAGAGGAAGGATTTGTTTATTCTGTCTTAAATCTCTCTCTTTTTTTTTGGTACCAGGAATCGAACTCGGAACCTTGTGCTTGCCAGGAAGGCACTTGTGCTGCTGAGCTATATCCCCAGCCCTTGTCTTAAATCTCAAAGTGGCAAACAAATGCAAAAGATTAGGTTAGACTACTAATTACAGGTGTGGCATGGTGGAGAATGCCTGTAATCCCAGCACTCAGGAGGCTGAGGCAGGAGGACTGTTGCAAGTTCAAGACTGGCCTGGGCTACAAAGTGAGCTCAAGGCCAGCCTAAACTGCACAGTGCGACCTTACCTCAAAAAGACCAAAAACAAAACAAAACAAAACAAAACAAAACAAAACACCCAACTAATTGCAGGCCAGGGGTATATATAGCTCAGCAACATAAGCACCTGCCTAGCAAGCGCAAGCCTGAGTTCAGTTCCTGGTACCAGAAAAAAACAAAGATTACTAATTACATGATTACTGATCCTGGCATCCTTCATAGTGGCTGCTTGCAGTGGATTGTTATAGGATTGAAGGATCTGGTCTTGGCCAAATAGAGACACCTTTGTATCAAGTCTAAAACGTGTAAATGTGAAATCAGGCCCAGCATTATATTTCAGCGCTTTACCCACCATTCCCAGGAGAGCTTGCAAGCCAAAGCCACACACCAGCTGGCCGCACTTGGCGGGATGATGGCAGTGTGCCCCACCCTGGGGTGCGCTAGCTGCAAGTCCGAAGAGCTCACATTTCCAAGCCAAGGACTGAGTCACTGTGGTTTTCCTGAATGCAGCAGTACTTCTTAGAACAGAAGTGCTTTGTTGATCAAGAATACAGTGTAGCCCAGTAGGTGGCCAAACCTATTATAGGGATGATATATTAGGAGTTAGCCCTTCAGATGTGAGCCACAGCATGGTAGTGGAGAATGCCTGGTTCCATAACTAAAGCTTTATTGCCCTTTTCATCCTTCAGTTCAGCAATTACTGTCTTTCAGAAAGCCAGCAACCAAGGCCCATAATATGATATACACTGTATAACCCAGGCCATATGTTCAGTAGGCCCTTGTTAAGTATACTGGCTGGCATGTGATTGGCTGACTACTGAGAGAAATGGCCAGTCAAACTGAGAATCATCAGTTAACACAACAAATAAACACTGTGAAGTATCATCTTCCTCACTGGAGCCCTCAGATGTTGAAAATTTTGGGTGTAAGTCCTCTAAAGGACTGGTTGCTTTCGAGGATGTCCAGGAAGGTGGCGGAGTGGTAAGCAGCAGAGAAAGCGCTTCTCTGACAGTTGCAGTCCAGACACTGGACTATAGTAATGCAAGGAGGAGGAGGAGGGAAGGGGGTCCCCTGGACCCAGGAAGGATCAGAAGTGAGAACGGAAGCCCGTGGAGAGAGTGAAGAGAGAGACTTCAGTGGAGGAGGAGGAGGAGGAGGCAGGAGGAGGCAGGAGGAGGCAGGAGGAGCCCTCTCTCTGAGCCGGGGCTCACTGCACGGGAAGAGCGGCTCAAACGTGCAGGCCCATGGTGATGGCCGGCAGCACCAGAGGCCTCCACAGGGACACTGCAGTGGAAGGGAGCAGTGGCTGTGGGCGTGGAAGGCTGCATTAGCCGGGCGTGAGTGCTGCGGGATCTGATGTCCTGAAGGAGGGCGACTGGCCGGGAGCCATCTTGGAAAGGGGCCAACTGAACTCAGCACTCAGAACAACGGCTGGGTCCATCTAAGGGCTCCCAGCTGAGTTCAGGTCTGCAGAACGTATGCTGACAGCTGCAGGCTGAACAGGTCTAGGCCTGGCCTCACAGCCATAAATCAGTCCGAACTTCAGAGGAAATAGAGGTGTAGGCTCACTGAGATTAACACTACCCTGCCCCTGCCATAAAGCTACTGCTGGCCTGCTGGGATAAATCAAAACGGATCTGGACTCTGTATCCACGCATTGTCTAGCAGTGACAGCAGAAACAAACCTGGAAAAACCATCTTTTTTCCCCCTTCTCTCTCTTTTCTTTGTTTGTTTGTTTTTTGTCTTTTTGAGACAGGGTCTCGCTGTGCAGTTCAGGCTGGCCTTGAACTCACTTTGTAGCCCAGGCTGGTTTCAAACTCCCAACGATCCTCCTGCCTCAGCCTCCCGAGTGCTGGGATGACAGGCATGTGCCACCACACCTGGCCTTCTCTCTTTTCTTGTTTTGCTTTGTTTTTTCTCTTTCATTGTTTGATCTTGTTTTTTATTTCTTTATTTTTTGGGTACTAGGAATCAAACTCAGGATCTTGTACTTGCCAGGCAGGCGCTTGTGCCACTGAGCTACATCCCCAGCCCCTGTGATCTTGTTTTTATATGAGTGTGAACGTGGTTTGTAGTTTCTTTGTGGTGGTTGTTCTGTTCCCTTTTATTTTTTCCTTCTCTCTTTCCTTCCTGTCTTCTGTACCAGTTTCTCAAAGTTTACAGATCTTCCTTTGTCCTCTAGTCTCGCTTCTAATCTCTTCCTCTTCTATTTTTCTATTGTTTCCTCTCATCCTTTAAAATTTTCTTCCCTGGGGGTAAAACTGGCATATTGAGGGCTTAT